GCCCCGGGTGTGTGCCCCGGGTGTGTGCCCCGGGTGTGTGCCCCGGGTGTGTGCTCCGGCACACGCACCCGCCCGGCCCCCTCCCCATTGGAATTACTGATACCCCGATCTGGAACCCCCTCCAGCCTCGCAGACGCAACTTTGTATCTCACTTTATTTCACAGAAAGTGGTCGGGGATTCGTATCAAGAGCCCCCCCGCAACACGCCGGTGTTGGTGCGTGTCACCTTTGGGGCTGAGTGGCCTTTGAAGTCCGTCAGAGGGTCACTGCCGTAGGGCCTGTTCCATGTGTTCACTCTATTGCCTGAAAATATTTTTTTTTCTTCTCGAGTGCGGGCATTTCTTCTGGAGCAAATGCATGAGTTTCTGCATGAGGATTGGGAAAGGGTGGTTCTTAACCTGTGAACTGTTGGGGTTTATTAATCTACCTTCTGTGACTGTGTTGTCCCTGCCAGTCATATAGAGGAGTTGGGATTTGGAGAGTTCGATTTTGCTGACCTCTGGAATTGGTTCTGCTCCAGTGTCCTTTACAGGGCTTCATGTTAGCTGGAACTCAAAAGTGGAAAAAAAGTGATTTATAAAAGTTTTTTTTTCATTGAAGAGTGTGCTGTACCAATTCTGTTGTGGATGACCAGACGGGGACTTGATAAAGGGATTAGAAATCCTGTACTGCTGTAGCTCTCTGTAATCTTCGTCGGCGTAAAACTTTAGGTACTCATGGAGATATGCGATGCAGTAGAAATATGTAAAGCATGTAGCTTCAGAGCTGAGTTTAGACAGTTGGTCTGAGATCCATGGATGTCTTGTGTACTGGGAGTTTTGGCTAATGTAATCTAATCAGTTTTAAAGGGCCAAGCTACATTATTTCAGTTTGTGATGACTCTCCTCAGTCCCTTGCCGGGTGTGTTTTTCATGTTTTGCACGCCCTTGCCGAGCTATTGTGGAAAAGGGCAAACCAAGTTCCACATAGTTCCTGAAAGTTAAGGTACTAGTGATTCATTTATTACAGTGTTAGAGGAGGTGTATTTTTATACATAGATACCTTAGTAGTGGGAACAGATTGACATTAACCTCATAACATCTGTGCCTGTGGATAGAAGCTGCTGTCTGCACTAGGGGAGCATCCACTCGGCGCTTGCTATGCTTTGGGGACACTTCCATGGTGACAATATCTTGTTTGGGCACTTTAAGTTGGGTTTGTTTGCTTTTTTTTTTTTCCCCCAAGCCTGATAGCAGGGTAAGAGTGCATTAGGCGAGGTGAGGATCACCTGGGCATGTGTTTTCCCTTGGCATGAGTTCAAGTGCGTACTTGTCTTCCGCGTTCATGGGTTGAGCCTGTACGTCGCCTGTCTGTCCTTCCAGTGCTGCCCGGTGCTGGGCAGACAGGCTGGCCTGGGGCTGTTGCTAGAAGGGCACGGATGTTGAGTTCTGCCAGGCAGACAGGTTTTGTAGGTAGCCTGAATGATGAGTCTCCCGCAGGTAGTGTGGATGAGCCGTGTTTCTTGACGGCGTTCCAGCCTTCATCTCGTGCCTGGCTCTGGCGGCCGCAGGATGGCCGGCATAGCCCGAGAGGTGAGGACACAACGTGTTCGAAGTAACAGAGTCCAGCCAGGGACGGCAGCCAGAGAGAAAGGCAGGAGCTCGATGTTCATGATTTACAGCTTTGCTGCATCAAAGGAGGAACACATAGTTAAGAAGTCAAAGCTTCTCATAGGAATAGAGTTCTGCCAGGTACTGTCCGATGATGGATGTTTTTAAAACATAGTCTGTGTAGGGAAGCTTTGAGACTCAGGCATATGTAGAACTTGCTACTAATCTCTCAGCAGGATATACTCGTGAGTAAGCCATGTTCTGGTCTAGGGTACACTCCTGTGCTAAGAGGAGGATTAACTACTGTTAAAAGAATCTGGTTATTCCATCCAAAGCATGAATTAAGACAGTGGTCAATAAATTAGACTAGAAGAAAAAAAACCTTGGTAGGTTTATTGGTGGTGTGCACAGGCTCATGTGTTATAAAGGCAGTGGGTGCTTTCATTTAATTTTCTGCTGGCATAATAAGTTTTAATAAATAGCTGCTTAACAAAAAAATCATTAGTAGAAGCTGCTGGGCCTGCTGTACCTATCTCTTTTCCACATCCTTTCCGGGACACCAGTGTATCAGTTTTCACTGCCTGGTATTTGGTGGCCATCCACTCGCCAATAAAACTGACCTTGAAGCGGCTTGGAAGCTTTTCTGCTTATTACTGTAGCTGTTTATCTCTGCAATCTACTTGAGTGCTATTAAATGTTGTTTCTATAGGGGTTCCCCACACAGGCAATAAATAGCCTGAAGTCAGCTAAACCACACAGCTGATTAGTATGGAGGAACTGTTTGGTTTTGGCTTTGCTCTACTGGTGGAAGGTAGTGGTAAGAAATAAAAAACTTGAGCAAAAGGCTAGATAGTCCAGGAGGCCATAAAGGCACGATGTGCCCTCTCTGAGTGGTTGTGGGCCCATGTTTTACCGGTCTCCTGGACGGGGCGTTGGCAGTTGGTGTGGTTTCCAGCTGGAGGATAACTCCTATTTGTAGGCACATGAGAGGCTGGATGTGGAAAGCTGGGGTGGAAAGCACCTTGCAGTCTGCAGCTTGTGATTACTGGGTGCTGCTTGGTGCCAAGTGCTCATGTGCTTGCTTGCATCGATCACCTGTAGGACAGATAAAGGTAATGAATGACGTTGTGAGGCAGCTGATATCTCTGGGTGTAGACAGAATTCTGCTTTGCTGCTGTGGGGTTTACCATGGGGGATATAATCCAGTTGGAAGCCTGATTCAGGGCTGTCATGTACCACCTGGACATTCACGGCCAGGAAGCACTGCACTTTTTCTAAACCAAAACTTGTTGTTAGGGTGTTAGATATAATGTGGTTTTTATGAATAGCTTAGTCATGCTTCACTTTTTTTCTCCTCTAAAACAGCTGTCAACAGTCTCACTGTGGGGAGGGAATTGGCCACTCCTTGTACTTACTGAATAGTCAAACACTTCAGCCTGGCTTTGCACTTCTTAGTGACTTTTGGAAACAAAGCCGTGGATGTGGCACAATGGCTTCTTTTTATTTATTTATTTATTATGCCTGCCTTTCTCCCTTGCAAATGACCTTTGTGTAGATCTAGAAGGCAAAGCACATCACTGGGAGTTAGCTGGTTAGTTACTTCAGTTAGTGATAAGAAAATATGATGGCAGTGCTCCAGGAAAAGCAGCTATGCTGGGAACTTGTTGCAGCAGTCAAGCTATACAGATCTTTTTCAGAACAATATATTCCTATATACTTACGGTACTTTGTCACGGAAACAGGGTGACTCCTCTCTTTACGTCTACATGATAAATCTGCTGCGACGCCACAGATCTTGTAAACAGTTTATTGCCCTTCCAGAGATGGCTGGTGGAGATGTGCAGTAGGTGAAACTTTCTCAGTGTCATTCTAAACTTGAACTGTAATTTTGTCCTCTCATCTCCTTTATGCATTGGTGTAGGTGTAAGCAGCCTCTTCTAGTTCCCCAACTGGACCATGCTGGGGTTTGTGGGTCTGTTCAGCAAAACAGGCTGAGAAATGGATCCCAGTTAAGAATACATGAATTTTTTTTCTATACAACTCATAGCTTGTATCAGTTCAGAAAAAAGATCATTCTTCCCCTGCATCAGTTCCCTGACTCGTGTTCCATAAGCAGCTGCTGTAGCAAAGGCTCAAGGAGCTCAAGCACTTCCAAGGCTTCCACCAGGAGACACTTACAGCCTTGGAAGTGCTTTTTCGATTGCAAAGTCATTTGACTGTGGTGCCCATCCCTGTTTTATAGCATGTGAAGATGACATGGGAGATAGATGTGTTCTTAAGATAAACCAGTGAGTTAAAAGTCAAAATGTTTTCTCTTTAAGTTCCCTAAGACTGCAATTATTTCTATCGAGAGTGAAGACACTTCTCTGCAAAGTAAGTTCTGCCATTCTTGTAATTTTTTTTTTTTTTTTAATTTGCTTTATAACCAGTTTAGGTAGACTGCTACATTGCTGAGGAACAAGGGAAGAAAGTGTATTCACAAATATTTTTAAGTAGTCAACAGTCCTTAAAAAGTATGCAGTGTGATATCTTCCAAAATGTAAGCTTTAATCCTGTTGTATCTGTAATGTATCAAATGTTGTGACATGGTCAAGCAGTCTAACAAGGCTATCTTTTTATATATGTATATATATATATATAAATTAAAAAACCCCAAACCTAAAAATCATGTGCCAAAGAGTTTATTGGGTGACTTTTGTTATGGGTGAGAAAAAGCTTAATTCTTTGCTGGCATAGCAATGTAGTTCTCACAGTCCAAATGCTGAACTATAACAAAGGCACACTGGGACCTTCCCAAATAATTGCACATGAGACTGGAGAAGGCGTGAGGACAAAATACCCCTCAGACTACTCTCAGCACCTTGTACAGCACTTGTGTTGAGGACTTGAAATACAGTATATTCCAAGCATGGTTTTGGTGTGAAGTTGGGTTTGGTGCC